GAGCCTGGGTTTACTAGTTTCAGAGGCCTGTGTCTTCATCGCACCTGGCACCCTGAAGATCCCAATAAATGTAGTCATGGATAATCAGAGAGCTAGGGGACTCAGATTTCCTGGGTGGGTGGAAGTCACTTCTGCTAAATGTCTAGTCAAGTTTTCCTTCATGGAACATACAAATATTTTAATCCTCTGAATTGAATTTTTGAAAATGAACTTTCTATATGAGCTAATTTTCTTTCCTTTAAAAATGTGTTATTATTCTTAAAAATCTAATTCCTTCTATTTCATAAATCTCTAATTATACATATTGCACATATTTTGATTGTAAATGTAAGGAGGTAAGAATCTAGCTTTAACTACATACATGTTTCAAGCTCCATTTTTATTTGCCAGCTATTTTGTTCTACAATTGAGGCAAAAATCTGCTTATAAATGCCAAAATGTCTAATTTAAATGTGCAGTGTTCTGTCTCTTGTATGGTGTGTGGGGGGAACGACTGCATACAGCAAGCATCATGCCTATGTAAAATTTCTATGCTAGTTTAAAATAATTACAGACTAACCAGCGGATTTTTATGCTGCCTACATTAATGTTAATGATATTGGGCTTAAGGGTCATAGTTCAGAGGGCAGATGGATAATAATCCTTGAAGTCAGTGGTTTTTGGGAATTCCTTTGGTAACAGAGAAGGTGAGGACTTAGCTGGTGATAGGTTCATGACCTCGGAGCACACAGCTTGCCTCAGCCCAGCCATGGCTCTTTCATTTCAAAGCTTTCCATTAAATTCTACAAACAGCTGCCAAAATGTCAATCTTTTCGACCCAGTTTTCTTGGGGCCCCTTCAGTTTGTGCCAGTTGATAAAGGAGAGGTTTAGACCACATTTTGGTTTTTAAATGGTGTAAAACTCAGCAATTCCCCAGGATTCCCCTCCCAGGTGAAAACTGCAAACGTGTATGATACTATCTTTGCAATTTTCTTTTTCAAGTAACTTTTGTCTGTTGTGCTACGGAAAGAGAACCAAGGAGCACCCCATACTGTCTTCCGCGCAGTACACTTACCTGGGGACACTGGGAGGGGCCCTGGTGGGCCGAGAGGGGACCTGCGGGGGGGCTCCGTATGTGTCGTTGCTGTTGGGGAAGGGCGGCAATGGGCCCGGCCGGAATGGAACGGGGGGAGCCCCTGAGTGGGGTCCCGGGGACGGGATGGCAGGAGGGGGCCCTCGGCCAGACCCAGGCCGAGCCAGGGGGGTGCTCAGTGTCGGCCTCCTTTGCGTGGTGGGGCTCGGAGGGGGCGACCTGGGAAAGAGACCAACGGTTTACCGCTCCTACTTTCTCTCTGCATCTTAAAAACACATTTTGTCACTTCCTGATGGCTTTTTAAAAATTATTTTTTTTGGCTGAGAAACTCAGATAAATGTTAGAAATGTTTAAAGGTATAATAAGAAGGTAAAGGGTAGGGGAAGTTTCCCTCCCCCACCCCTTCACGCCACAGAGTCAGCCAATAGTAGTTTCTTTGTAACTATATTCTACAGTAGTTTCTCTCTCTCTATATATAAATTACTTTTATTTAAGCTTCACTGGAACTTGACTACCTTTTCATTTCAGTATTTATAGACCTGCCTTACTTTTTACTGGCTGTGTAACATTCCACTGTACTGATGCATGGTGCTTGTTTCCGACAGGAGTTGGGATGACTTGACCCGCTCTCTCACTGCTGAACTTAAATAATTGTTCCTCTTTTTTTCTAAAGAGTTTCAGGGGAGTACTCCCAGTAAATGGCACTGCCCCAGCCTGGCAGGCCTCAGGGTGCGTGAGCCAGCTTCCTACCTGCGAGTGTGCTGTATCCAGGAGTCGTCCACGGGCGGCGGGGCAGGGATGAAGGTGGTGGCTGTGTTGATGTCGCCAATGATCACGAGGGCTTCTTTAAGGGCCTGGTACATGTGAAGCATTTCATCCCGGCGCTGAGCCTGCTCCGCCGACTCCTCCATCAGAGTGTTCTGGTCCTCTGAGGAATATAACTGTGCTAGGAGCTCTGAGTTTATAAAATCCTTCACCTGTCGGGTCACCAAAAAAGGTAAGAAGGGAATGAGTGAGTGGTTGGACGGTAGATACTGGGCCAGAGACTGTGGACAGAGTCTGCAAATGTCCACTCTGGGAAAAGGGCTGCAGTGTGCATCTGTTCATTCCTATTTTCTTCATCCTCCTCCCAATCCTTCACATAGGCAGTGGTTCTCAACCTTCTGGCCCTTTTTTAAAAAAAAATATATACTTTATTGATTTTTTTACAGCGAGGAAGGGAGAGGGATAGAGAGTTAGAAACATCGATGGGAGAGAAACATCGATCAGCTGCCTCCTGCACACCCCCCACTGAGGATGTGCCCGCAACCGAGGTACATGCCCTTGACTGGACTCGAACCCCGGCCCCTTCAGTCCGCAGGCCGACGCTCTATCCACTGAGCCAAACCAGTCAGGACTTCTGGCCCTTTAAATACAGTTCCTCATGTTGTGACCCAACCATAAAATTATTTTCGTCGCTACTTCATAACTGTAATGTTGCTACTGTTATGAACCGGAATGTAAATATCTGATATGCAGGATGGTCTTAGGCGACCCCTGTGAAAGGGTCGTTCGACCACCAAAGGGGTCACGACCCACAGGTTGAGAACCGCTGACGTAGAGGCTATTAACATGAAAGGAAAACATGACACAGATTCGTTGAAAAGAGGGCCAAAGCCTGGCATCTGCAGAGAGGACCTGGTCTCTCAGACGAGAGGGCCTGTGTCTGAGCCAGCTTCCCCACAAGGGTCTGAGGCTGCTTGGCTTAGGGACGAGGGGGTAACCAGCAGCATCTTCCACAGGAAACAATGATGTAAAGAAACTGATGTCCTAACACAGGTTATCCATTCCTCAGTATTCCCAGTCCTTGACCCAGCTTTTACCACAATCACTGAAATACTCAGAAGACCCTAGGTTTCAATGTGCTCTCAAAAAGTGGAATTACCATCAATAAGTCAATATTTGTTAAATACAGCACCTTATATAATTATGCAAAAAATGATATGCTCTCTGCTTTCTAGAAGTTAATCATAGAAGCTACTTAACAGTGATGAGGGCTGATACACGGTTAACAGATAGATGTGAACAGGCTAAAGTATGGACGCTCCACATGAGGCACAGCTCTGAGGGAGAGAGAACCAACCACACCTCATCAAATCCAAGATACCAGTGGATTAAAGACACACCACTAATATATTTGTGCCACGAAGAAAGAGAAAATCATCACCAATTAAAACTATGACAGAATGGCCCTTGCTGGTTTGGTTCCATGGATAGAGTGTTGGTCTGCGGACTGAATGGTCCTGGGTTCGATTCTGGTCAAGGGTACATGCCTGGGTTGCGGGCTCAGTTCCCAATGTGGGACATGCAGGAGGCAGCTGATCAATGATTCTCTTTCATTGTTGATGTTTCTATCTCTCTCCTTCTCCGTTCCTCTCTGAAATCAATAAAAATATATGGGGGAGGGGGGGGAACTATGACGGAATGCCAGATGCCACTGAATGTCACAGGTGTCTTCATGTCAGAAATATTAATTGTAGAAAAAGTGAAGGTGAGAACTGATGACATATGGTGTGTCCCAGGTGCCTTTACAAGTTACCTGACTTGGTTCTCACCTCAAACTTAGGAAATGTATTATTATCCCAATTTTGGAGATGAAGAAACTGATGTTCAGAGAACTTTAAGTGACTTTCCCAAAGCCACACATTAAGTTGAACCCCAAATCTGCTGACTTGAAGTCTAGTGCTCTTTCCATGACCCCCTACCCCTACTTTGGGTGCTTAGAAAGGACCGTTGATGTGTAAGCACCATTATTTTAGAGGGGTGTAGCAATATGCCTATTAACATAAGCCTAGAAAAATAAACCCACTTGGATTGTTGGGTTTCTCCTTTAATAAGAACACTGACACTTCTCTGGAGTCACTGAATTTCTCCAGGAAAGGCCGAAGGCCGGTAGTATATTGGACTGTTGTTACAGATTCAGGCAGACATTGGAACACTGGTCAGACACTCAGAATTCCTGGGTTGTAGTTACAGCATCCAATCACACAAATAATTCTACTAACTGGAAAATTCCATGAAAGCACAGAGCTTCCCTGGGAAATAAAGAACTGTCCTCTGCACATGTTTTGTCAACCAAGAGTGGTTCGAATATGGACGAGATGCACTCAGACAAGAGTCTGGGGGAGCAGGTTTCTGTGTAATAGCCGGGGAAGGTAAATTTGGCCGGGTAACCTGGGGCCAGATGCGAAGGCCTCTAATGCCAAGGAAAAGCGTTTGAACTTTATCCACTTGGCAATGGGGAGCTGTGGAAGGTTCTTCTGTAAGTCAGTGAAACAATAAAAGAGAGCTTTAGGAAAATTAATCTGGCTGTGATGGGAGAAGAATTTGCAAATGGAGATAAATGTAGATCATTTGTGAGATGACAAGGGTTGAATTTAGCAGGGTTGCAGTGGAATAGAAAAGATAGGCATGCACAAATGACAGTGTAAAGGCAAAACCTACTGGACTCGTTTGGGATGTGAGGGACAAGGAAGACAGGAACAAAGACAACTCTAGCGTTGTGGTTTGGGTGAGAGGGAAGAGAGAAAAATCAGAAGTCAAGAAGGAAAAGGCAGATTTAGAGGACATACAGTCAACTGGGCTGAAGGATTTTTTCACTTGTACCCGAGGAATCAGGACATTTGCACAAATCTTCCACCAATGGGTGTGTGTGCACTTGAAGGGAGGGTGCAACTCCAAATTCAAAACCAGACGATTTTCCTGGCACTGGCCATCGGTTGGTTAAGCTCTTTGGAAGCTTTACATCTTCCTGGAGTATCACTTAGAATCTATTAAACACAATTTAAAAGACAGTCCTTCCAAGAACAGATTTAAAGCAGATCTGAATGAAGAAGCAACTGTCAAACAAACCACGAAATAAAATAGTCAGGGCCTGTCTCAGCATTCTGATCAAAGATCTGCCTTGCATCAATTCTTCCACATCAAAATGTTACACGTGAAGACTTGCCGGTTCCCTGAAAGATTGGGCAATGCTCAGGAATAATTTGAGTGTTACGAGCCTGAGAGAAAAGGGTAACATGTGCAGTGGTTAGAGACCGTGTGCTTTGGAGTCAGATGGCTCTGAATTGGAGTCTGAGCTCTTAACACTTACTGTTTTGGGGCAAATAACCTCTATGAGACTCAGGTTCCCTTCCTGAGGACAATGGTGGTAGCTGCCTCTAGAGCTGTGCAAGGATTCAGGGAAAGAATCAATACCAGATGCCCGGCACGATGTCCAGCATGTAGCCAGTGCTCCGCATACAGAAGCTACTCCTTCTACAGAAAACAGGCTAAGCTGGCACTGGCATGTAGAGGCAGGAGAACAAGAGTACAGGCACCAAGAGATGGAGTTCAATAAAGAACACAGGTTGACATTTTACTTTGCACTTAAGCAAAATTTTAGAAAGACTCTTCCCTTTCTCTCCTGCTAGTTGGCAGGGGGGGTGGAGGGTGGAGGGTGGGGGGGTATTTAGGGGAGTTCCCAGACACTTCAGGGACTTTCTGAGTGGTCTGAATGTCAACGGGACAAACACTGAAACCAAGGGCTCTGCACGGCAATTAGAGACCAAGGTCCGTTTCAGAGGAACAGCATGTTGAAAATACCCTCACAGAACGTGACATACACGAATTCTACTTGGATGTGAGATGCAAAATAAGATTTATGCTTTTAATTATAACACCTTAGAACCTATACATCTTTGTATGGCTCACAAAAGAATTCTCACACACAAAACCTCATTCCAGTTCAAACTCCACGGGCTAGAAAAACAGGCACTACTGCAACACGTCCGCCTCGGTGCAAAGGAATGTGAGGTCATTAGCAATGTTCCATATGGTTCCTCTCTCTTGCTTTAACCCTTCTCTAGCAACCTGCAATATTTTTGGATCTTAACCCTTCTTTGTCTTTAGCTGAGACCGTTTTAAAGCCTCCACACATAGAAGAGACATTTCTAGAGTTTTCATCCAATATCGTTACCAAGGAGACCATTTCCTTAAAATCTCTTTGTTTCTAGACGGAAGGGCCACAGTGTGGAACACGGCGGGGGCTCTTGTTCACACAAAGACACATGAAAACGTAACTGGCAGCCCGAGGATGCGTTGTCTGGAGAGGAACTTGGTTAGTATTTTGTGAATCCTTGAGATCTCACAATTCTCTCGTTTCTTCGTCTTCCAGGGATTTAGTTTGGCTAAAGACCAACAATGTTTTCCTTGTTTAAAAAGTCACATCCTTTGACTCACAAACACCATGTTGTGTTAAAAAACTAGACACTAAATGGCTGTGAGATTCTGTCCTGTGAGATCCCAAAGTCTGAGGACAGGCAGAACTGTAAGAAGCCAAGAGCGTCACCCCTGTTGAGGAGTGATGGGGGTCGGGGAGCAGGGGTGGGGGGCCTTTGGGGCCTGGTCGGGATCTCTTTCTGCAGAAGGGTGCTGAGTTCTTGACCCGTGGAAACAAATCCGTGCTCTGGTATTTTAAGATGCACTTTCCTCTCACATGATGAACATTTCAAATAACACTCTGCTCCATGGGCATTAAAGTGATGGTCAGCTTCGAAACGAGGGCACGTGTTACTCATTTTCCACTGGAGTGCCAGCCGCCCAGGAGAGGGGCTGTAGTCTCCAGGGACCAGGAGCCCTGGCCGCAGTCCATGGGCACGGGTGAAAGGCCTCTAGATTCCATATTTGGTTCTTCAAAAGTTTCATAAAACCTTCACCTTCTATTTTGCATTATCTGGTCTGGTTGAAATATGAGGAACAATGTTTTAAATTATTTAGATTTAAAATATTGTTTCTCGTATTTCAACAAACCCTAATTAAATCTTCATGGCATATGGACCTCTGAGAAGAGACCCCAGGCGTAAGCCATGGGGTTCGGAGCCCATTACTTTGAAGAGGTTGACTTATGGTTTTCCTAACCGTGCCATATGCATTTTCTGCTGCTGAACTCGAGAGAAGATCCGACTGAATGAGAAGACCTGGGTTTTCATCACGATTCGGCCAACTCCAGCTGTGCGGTCTGGAATAAACTAACCTCTCAAAGCCTCAGTTTCACCCTTTGTTATAAAATGTGAGTACCCAACGTGCGGCTGTTTTGTGGGTTCAGTCCCAGCATCATGTGCCACTTTGCCACACACTTCCCTAGAACAAAGCTGGGCCCACGTTCGTCATTCTCTGGTGGAAAACTTCTGGTGGGGGAGCTACCGAGAAAAGGCTGCCCAAATGCGCGAGCCATGGGGTGCCACGTGTGCGTTCACTTTCAATTCCTGAACCAAACTCTGCTTTTGACTGCAGCCCATCCAGAGTGGCCGCCTGTCATAAATGTGCTATTTCTTTGTGTCGCTGTTACCTGGTATGTTTAAGCAATGAAACAGCTGCTACATTTCAATAGACAAAGGCTTACAGTATGTCTGAGGCGAGGCATTTATTGCTGGCTTTAAACTTCTTAAACAATTCCATATGGAGACTTGAGTGGCAGAGCACTTAATGTAAACTTTCAAAGGAAACTGCCCACCGAACTCTGAGCCTTAGGAAACTTGGCTGAAACACATTCTTTTTCAGGAGGCGGAGTGGCCGTGCTCATGTCAGAGGCGACAAGCCGCAGCACCGCGTTCCACGGGGACAGTCCACAAAGGGGGGACCCGTGTGAGGCCACCATTGGTTTTGCAGGACATTTAGCTTTGCCACCCAAAGGCATTTGGAGAAGCCACAGGGGTGAGTGGATGGAATTGAGAATGAGGAGTCAGCGTGTTCCTTTTCTGGTTGTGATTCTTTGGTTAATTCTCTCGCTTGAAGCTCTCTTCACTTCAAATCAAATCAAAAACCAACCGTGGGTGGCACGTGCTGAGTACTCACCACGTCCCTATTCCTTGTACTCGGCAGGGCGCTCTGGAACAGGCACAAAGGGCTGAGACGATGGCACACCACGATGCCGTGAGGGTATGAGTCCATGGAGAAGAGGGTGTTTACACTTTTCACATATACAAAATTATATACATAATTTAAACAATATATAAAACCATACTTATTTTTACATACATAGTAAGAAAGTGGGTAAAATGATACTTAAAGAAAAGCAGGTGTCCTAGATATGGAAAACTGTCTTCAGATTGGTATGAAATGTTGGATTTCACACAAAGAGAACCATAATTTCGTAAGAATCCAGCGTTCTGTGACTTTTTCATATTCCTGTGAGCCTCTGCTTCAACGTTTGACCTGGTGCCTTGATTGAAGTGGACATCCCCATGACTTTTATGTGAGGTCTCTCTTGGACACTGAGCAGAGCTCTCCCCACATGGCTACTGCCCGCTAGGTGGGGTGTAGCCATTTCACTAGGGAAGCAAGCTCATCAGGGAGGAGCCAGCCAGGGCAATTACCCACATTTCTTTGTGTATGTGTGTGTGTGTGTTTTTCTTGAGAAGGTGAAAGTGGCACAGATTTGCAATAGGGTCTTTTTTCTCCTTTTAACTAATTTGTGTCCAGCTACTTCTTGTAGCTCTAGACAGGAAGCGCTATTTCCTGTGCTGATGATTGAATACAGTGCAGAGCAAAGCAGCGTTTGAACCGATGGCGGCCCTAATGACTCTCGGCAAAACAGTGAGAAGATAAATGATACTCAATCAGGGAAATGTTTAAATAAGCAAGGGCCTGGATATACCATGGCAGAACAACCTGAACTCGCTCAAGCAAAGTTAAGAGGGCAATTTTAAAAATACACAGACTATTTGTTTAGTACTTTATATTTTTCAAAATGGCATATGGTCCCATTCATTATGTTCGCTGACAATTCCGTGAGGCAGCTTGGTGTTCTTACTGTGGGTTTAGAAGTGACTTCAGCTCAGACGGGCAAAACGATTTCCATCCAGTCACACAGCAGGCCGTTGAACAAGCTTAAGAACACAATTCAGAGTTTCCAAGTTTTCCATATACTGCTTACCTGCTCCTGATACTTCAAAGCATCCCACTAACCTTGTTTGAACACGAGAAGTATGTGTGAAGATAAGAGCTAAAAACAAGAGTGTTCACATGAGTGCTTAGAGCTTCTGACAGTTGAGGAATGCATGCATGAACAACAAATGGAGTGTCATGTTTAGGAAAATGATTTTGAAAGGAGTCTTGAAATATGGATAAAGGCTATTAAAGTTCTTCAATAGGCACCCATAATAGCTTCTTATAATTAAATTTTTCATAGTACTTCCATATATACTATCTAATGGAATAAGTCCCTAAACCAGGTGCATTTTATGAGCAGTGTTTTACATATGGAGGAAACACCCAAAGAAGTTCAGTGAGGTGTCTTAGGCCAACAGAGTCTACAGCAGAACCAGTTTTAGGATCCAATAGGGAACACCGTAGCATTGTAGCTAGGAGTTTCGCATTTCTTTCCTCAGTTCTCTTTCACTGGTTGGCCACTTACAACTTGTCATGGAAAATAATGAACCCGCAGTAGGTGTTTAAACCATCCAGAATATATCACAAGGAGACTCAAGAGAATGTGAGCAATGCCCATAGTAGGAAGGGTTTGAGGTGAAAGTGAGAGGGTTTCTAATCACTTACGTTATTGATCATCAGGTGCATTATCGTCTTTGGAATTAGGTCTCGGATACATTTGTTGATGATGGACATGTAGGAGTCCACCAGGTTGCGAATGGTCTCCACCTGCCTCTCCAGTTGGGGGTCCAGGGAAAAGTTCTCTGCTTGGCCATTCTCATCATTTTCAGTCTATCAGAAAGGAAAGGAAACATGGATTATTTCACGTTCGTTTAGAAGAAAGAAAAACACCAGACATAATCAGATGATCAGCTTCTGTTTACTGTACTTGTAGTTACATGATGAGCTGGTAACATCTTTATCGCACAGCCATTAATTCTAAAAAGAGATCATAACCAGGCAGTTACTAGTCCTCCTGTAGTCTGTCACAGTCTAGGAGAAGCAAGTATTCTAATTCTGAATGAATGCTGAGATGAATAACCGGATAAACAGCGCACCTAACAACATCCCTCTAGAGAGCAATCTAACCATAAGCCATTTGCAAGCTGGCCCAAGAACGGAATCCAAACATGTGCAGATGTAAACTTCTGGGAGGGGTCCCCAGGGATTCTGTAGATTAGAAATAACCTTGGTGTTTTCTGGAACTGACTCCCAGGTCTCTCTGAAATGGATCAGCATTTGGATCAGCCCAGATTTAAAACTGAATTCCTAGGCCTGGCCTGGACCCAAAATAAGAGATATAGAGGATAATTCACTTTTCCATGCACTTGCTGGAATTCGCTATGTAAACTCAGGCTTCTGTCATCACTACCCAAGGCTGGCTCCACTGTGAAAAACGTACAATGTTAACTTCCAACTTGTTACTCTTTGAGAAAAATAGGACACATCTATGCTCAAAGGTTTTATTTGTGCAACAGGAGAAAAGCATCTGTTTTCTATACAGCGGGACTTGAGTTAATTAATTTTGGCTTCCCCACCAGAGGTTGGGCTGGAATGGCATCTTCGTCATTAAACGCTGACCTATTGGCTTGGCACTGAAATCATTTTAGAACAAATGGTCTCCATTTCAAGTCAGGTTGAACCAGCTAAGCCCCAGAACATGATACAAATATTGTTAGTGGTCTGGCTGCTTTCTAGCATTTGGAAAGATTTAATTACAAATGCAAAAAAAGGGGGGGGATAATTTATTGCTTCCAATGTGAACATGAAATACTTCTCCTTGGATATGTATATACTTTGATCTGCCAGGCTTTCAATCATCCAATCCGTTCTAGGAAAAGAACTGTGCTAAACGGTTTAAATGGATTTATAAATGACAAGCTTTTCCTTTGAATCAATATGCATATGTGAAGGCCACAAAATCAACAACAACAAAGATAGAAATTGGTTCTCATCATTTACATAGGCTTCCCTTGCTCAGAAATATCCAATACTTTAAAAAATATTAAAATAATATGTGCTCACTCTAAAACACAAGTCATTTTTCAGTCTTGAGAGTATGACCCCATGCTTCAAGGATACTTCAAGGACATTTCTGAGGCATCTTACAGCTACTACCGCAAGATAGGGGAGTGGAAGTTTCAACAATGACATCTGTTCCCCAATACTGTTTTTTTTTTAATGGTCTTTGGCTGCTGAACTAATTAAATCAAGTATTATGTCGTTTTTCACTTATTAACTTGTGATATAAGCATAATTGAATCTGGGACAAATAGGTAAAGTGACAAAGGAAAGGTCAGCCATGGCAGTGAGAAAAGCCACTCATATCCCCAAATTTCTTTCCTGGGCAAAAAACCACAACATATGTGCTCCAGGCTGAGCGTGAATTCTAAGAATCAGTGGCCACTACAGTGTGGTTCTGAGGGTTTTGCCTTTGAAAGTGAAAGCTTGAGGTTCAAATTCAGGCTCTATCACCTCCTGGCTGTGTGGCCACAGTTCAGCTACTAGTATACTTCATGTCACTGAAACTCAGCTGCCCTGTCTTTAAAATGGGGATATGCTTCCCTGGCAAATTTTCGGAAGCTAAATGAAACAATGTATATGCTATGACCTAGCCAAGGGCATTGTGGGTGCTCAATAAATAAATGTTAGTTTTCCTTCTTTCCTTTCTGAACATTCATGGGATAAGAGAGAGCTGCTTGACTCTCAGCACACAGCATGAAAATTTAAGGTGAACAATGTGAGCATAAAACATTTTTAATTCAATATACAGATGGCAAAGGGTATGCTTTTTATATAAGTTTTCTGTAAGCTAGGCCCCTTGGGATCCCCTCCTCTCACCTGTGAAGACTTTTCATCTTTCAAGCCCTGGTCTACCACCACTCCTTCTAGATAAGCTCCCGATGGCCCTCAGACGCCCACCCCCACTCCCCACAATGGACTTCATCTGTGTCTTGTGCTCACTTTTATTACTTAATATCCAGCCTAGTTTCATGCTTCCCTCCATTAGTCTCTGGGGTCTTGTTTATCTCCCCTTCTCAGCACAGAACCTGATGCATGGGAGAAGGAGAAGCAGGAGTTTAAACTACAGCGGAAAGGCCGGGGAGGGTTGGGGGGGTGGGTAAGAGATATTTTGAAGAAAAAAAACAAAACAATATTTGTATTTGCAGGTGGCCGGCAGGCCGTAGTTGGAGGACCCCTGTTTTAAGCAATAAAACAATTAAAAAAGAAAAAAGAAAAAAAAAGAATATGATATATAGAAAAGGACCCAGCAGTATGTAAAGGAATTAGCCATGAAAAGGGTGGGGAGAGGTATAGGTGTGTGTTGAATAGGGGAAGGACAGAGAAAGAAGTAAAATATGACAATATCTGTACTATGGAAAGTTTGGAATACATTAAAATATGACAAGAAGCCCATGTGCCTGAAATGTTGGGGGCTATGGAGAAATGGCATTGAAGAGTGGGCAGACATTTCATGTAATAGACTGTCCATAGTGGAGTTTTAAATTTATTCCGAGGACAGTGGGAATCAGCTGAAGGGCTTAAGCCTAAAGAGATGGCATAATTTGAAACACTTTTATTCAACTGGCTAATATATGGAGAATAAATTGCAGTTGTTAAAAAAAACCACTGAGGGATTTGCCTAAATCAGCGGTTCTCAACCTGTGGGTCGTGACCCCTTTGGGGATCGAACAACCCTTTCACAGGGGTCACCTAAGACCATCAGAAAACACATATAGCATATCATATATTTACATTACGATTCATAACAGTCGCAAAATTACAGTTATGAAGTAGCAACGAAAATAATTTTATGGTTGGGGGCCACCACAACATGAGGAACTGTATTAAAGGGTCGCTGCATTAGGAAGGTTGAGAACCACTGGCCTAAATGAAGGAAGTTGTCCAGTGCATTTCAGAGTATCCAAGGGTGACTGCTTGTTAGAGAGACTGGAGACCAGAGAAACTCCAAGTTGATGAGTTTGGATCCCCTACTACTTGATAATAGTAAGAATGATAAAATGATTAAGAAGTTATGAATATAAATGAGAGCAGATGACCTGCAGCTTTGTGAGGAAAACATCTTTTACATAAGGAAAAGAAATGTTCATAATGGATACAATACCATTCATCTCTCCTCTGAAACATAATGGAATTCTGCTGTTGTATTTAGCAGTGGGGGGTGACGGCATTTCGGTATTAACACACCACACCTCTCAGAAACATTATTTTGTTCTAGGGACTGTGCTAAACACTTTACATAGAAGATCCACAACCTCAGGAGGCGGCTACCACTTTGTCAACCTATAGAAGAACATGTTGAGGCTCTGAGAGCTGATTTATTCAATAGAATTAAGACGAATGCAATGTTAAACCAATTTCTACTTTTCCTTATATATAAAAAAGTCAAGAAGTATTATGGAATGGTGCAACACCCATAATACAAGTTGGTTTCGCAGATAAAATAATGCAAAATGAGTTTCTAAGAAAAGATGTCCCTGAAGTACTGACATTTGCAAAAAATAAATGACTGAATGAAAAGCAGAATAAATAGTATTTATGAAAAAGAACCTCTAGGAATATGAACACCAGGAAAATTATATCACCACATTTTCATAGCAGTACACTGAATTTCTCCATTTCACACTATTAGCATTCAGTCTTGCTTTATTTTTTGCATACCAAAATATGCAAAAGACCCTCACTTTCACTTTTTGAAACCGGATGCAATTAAGCAGTGTCAGAGTGAATGGAGAACCCTGAATAGAGAAAGTGTCAACACTTAAAAAAGAAAAAGCATTCCAGAAAAAACAATGAAACCATTTGAAATTCCCTTTAGCTTTTGGAAATACTAGTAGACACGCAAATCTTAAGTCTTCTGATAAAAGCGTGGATATGATGGGATTCGAAATTCAGAATGCAAATTTAATCTATTTTCTGATTTTTAGAAAGAAGGGAGGAGTAATTGCCCCTTCCAATATGCCTAAGATGAATTCAAAAAATGTACATAGATGCAATTTTTCTTTTAACTGAGTAATTGCAGACAGCAAACTTTTGCTTTTCTCTAACCCCAGTCAGTTCTAACCAAATCCTCTCTCCTGTTCTTTTCTGCATGTACACTGTGTATAACTGTATTTTTTTCTTTGTTTAAATTACAGGATTGCAATAGGATTCTTTGCAGTCTAAGCACTGAAATAACAGATGTTTAGCATTATCCTCATCAAGGGAATGTAAAATAAAAATAGTAATTTGTCTCTGATCTTTGAGGCAAAAAAGAATGGTCTGCAAACATTTAACCTTTTATGAGCAGGTTCATTGAAGCTGTTTACAAAATGTGAATAATATTGTGAAAACCAGCTTTCTTCTGAAAAATACAATGGGTAGGCCTTCCTATTGCATTTTTTTCCTAATAGCTTTGGAGATGCCTAATGCAACTTAAACAATAAGACAATAATAACAGCCTTATAAATGTGAAACTGCTTATAAAAATGGATACCCCAACTTTCCTACAAAACCATTTGCACAGCATTCAAAAGCAAGCTGTTTTACAAAATTTAAATTTATAAGCTTTCTCCTAAAGACTTAATATGTTAAGAGGTGAGAGAACGAAATAGTCAAATTAGAAATAATTTCCAGCAAACCTTAAAGCATCCATTGCAGCAGCTCTAGGCTTGACCAGGATGTGTATTTTTCATGTGATTTGGTTACTTTCCTTAAATCTCTTATTGCATTATGTCACAGGCATCTTTGAGGATCACTGAAACCATCCAATAAGGCTGATGACTGCAACT